TTGTATTTTATTCTGTTACATTTGATGAGCAAGTATTTGTAATTTGTAACAAGATACCTTTTGATGTATTTGATGTATCTCTGAGTATTGGGACACACATCTTTAATCATTGAATTCAGGTGTTTCATTCAGACTCATAGCCACATGTGTATAATATCAAGCACCCAGCCACGCAGTCAGGTTTACAAACACTTGTGAAAGAATGGGCTTTTCTGAAGAGCTCAGTGAATTCAATCATAGTACTCTTAAAGGGTGCCACCATTGCAATAAATCAGTTCATGAAATTTCTTCCCTGCCAGATATTCCAGTCAACTGTAAGTTGTATTACTGAGTGTCTAGGAAGAACGAAAACTCAACCGTGAAGTGGTGGACCATGTAACAGAGCACGATTGCCGAGTGCTGAGGCGCATAGTGTGTCAAAGTTGCCAATGTTTAGTTGACTCAGCAACGGCATAGATCCAAACTTCCTCTTGCATTAACCCCTGAACAACGGGAGCTTCATGGAATGGGCTTTCATGGCCAAGCATCTGCATGCAAGCCTCACATCGCCAGGCGTCCAGTGGAGTGGTGTAAAACATGTCGCCACTGGACTCTGGAGCAGTGGAAATGTGTTCTGTGGAGTGACGAATCACACTTCTCTGTCTGGCAGTCTGATGGATGAGTCTGGGTTTGGCAGATGCCAGGAGAACGTTACCTGCCTGGAGGAGGGGTGGGAACGGAAAAGGGATAATGGTATGGGGGTGTCTTTCAGGGGTTGGGCTTGGCCCCTTATTTCCAGTGAAGGGAACTCTTAATTCTTCAGCATACCAAGACATTTAGCACAATTCTATGCTTCAGACTTTGTGGGAATAGTTTGAGGAAGGTCTTTTTCTGTTCCGGCATGCCTGTGCCCCAGTGCACAAAGCAAGGTCCATAAAGACATGGCTGTGTGAGTTTAGTGTGGAAAAACTTGATTGAGACTGACCTCAACCCCATTAAACACCTTCGGGATGAGCTAGAACGGAGCCAGGCTTTCCCGTCCAACATCAGTGCCCGACCTCACAGATGCTCTTTTGTATGAATGGGCAAAAATTCCCACACACTCCAAAGTCTTGTGGAAAGTCTTCCCAGAAGGATGGCAGCTGTTATAGCTGCAAAGGGGGGACTAAACCCATATTGATGCCTGTGGATTTGGAATAGATTGTCATAAAAGTTCTTGAAATAGACAGGAGTCTCAATACTTATGTGCAATATAGGGACTGGTAAAGCATACCGCAGCAGTTGAACTACAAAGATCTTTGGTACGTTTTCAGTATCGCGGGAGAAATGAGACCATCATAGAAATCAAACCTGGTTAAACCAATTGGTGATCAGGAACATTAGGTAGGTCTCGGCTGCTTCTGTATTGGATGGCTTCATTCAAACTGCTTTGCATGTCATTGCACCTGGAGAAGCAGTCTGGAAGATGGAAGGATTATTCATGCACCGTCCAGTTTCCCCTCTTTAAAAAGCTGCTTTATCACTCAAACAGTTCACGCTAGGTAAGTACTTCAAGGGTACGGCGTCACATAAAAATAATTTGTAACTACTGCGTGGAATTCACTGGGCCGCGCTCCAACGACGTCGTCTCCCCGCTCTTATTATGTGAATGGAGATTTGTTGGGATTTTTCCCCAAATCGTCCTGATCCTCTTTTTAAATTACCCATTAGCTTCGAGTCACAATATAGAAGCATTTCACTAATTGACCAACGTCCTCTGCAGGTGCTAAATCATTTCAATAATGCAGGTGAACTATAATAGCCTACTTTAATGTGTTAAACTATTATAGTAGCACAATGTTTTCTTTTTCCTTATGTTGGCAAGAGTATAGATTAACAGGTTGTTATTTTTCTTTCTTTAATAGAGTCATGTAACTGTTTCTTTCTCCAGCAACTGGGGAAATGTCAGATGAGTACTCAACAGGGGGATGCGTGTACAGAATGGTTTTTGAGATGGTTTTTTGTTGTGAAAGGTCAAGATTCATTCATTTTCATTTTCTGTTACTGCTGGTCCTATTCAGGGATGCTGTCTGAAGCCATTGGTCACAAGGCAGAAGCAACCCAGGATGGGTCACCCACCCACTGCAGGGCATACTCACATCTACGGGTAATTCTGTTATTGCAGTTAACCTCAGCATGTTTGTGGATGGGTGGGGGGATTGTAGTACCTAGAGGAAACCCCACAACAACATGGGGAGAACATACAGACTCCACACACATGGAGCCTTTGCAGAGACTCGATCACTGGTCCTGTAAGTGTAAGGCAACACTACTAAGCACTGCACCACCATGCCAGCCCCCCGCCCAAGTCAAGGTGTCTGTCACCTCAATAAAAATGACAAAAAGGCACTATGTTACATAGGTACACCTGGTAACCATGTGAACTATAGTGATTCTAACATAGCAGGAAGAGCTTTTAAAAGAGTTAAGTAACATTATACATTCCATTTAAATCGTGTTTAATGCTCCTTGCCACATTTAATTAGGCATTGTTTACTTCACCCATGCAATCACTGCTAAATGCATTGAAATTGGATGTGGTGTGATTTGCCATGTTTTAGAAGTAGCAGGACGGATAATAAGTAATGGGTCTAATGCGTCTCTGTAATGGGTGTCGGCGGCGGGGCGAGCTGTTCGCTTCCTCTCCCGCGAAGCATCGCCTGAGACCTCTGCAATGCCACTGATGGTCTGTGTAACCGGCCCTATTTCCCAGTGCCGTTTCCATGGCGATGTTAAGAACAGGTTCCCGCCACTCTGCCAAACTCACCGCCGCACCATCAACGATGCGCAAGCCAGTGTTAATATTCTGCAGAGGTTCCCTCCCCACCCCCACAGAAAGCCCCCTATGATGCCGTATCGGAAGCTTCGAGTGAATGTATTTCAGTTCTGAACGCTACAGGAGTGTTTGTTTACATGAGGTGGGCGTGGCGTGCATGACTGTGCGGGATGAGAGTGTCCAGTCGTGTTGGGGCGTTATCACATGTGTTTATTGTGTTTTTCCGGCTCACATCAACTGGCATTCATTTGGTGCAGAGTAGCAATTTGAGATGGCGTCAAAGACTCTGATCTTAGGTGAGAAAACGGAGGAATGACTCATCAATTTGTGCTTCTAAAAATATTTGTACCAGACATGGGGGGCGGGGGGGGACAGTACAATGAACATTATATAGCCGTCATCTCAATTTCTTTAATATGGCGCAGGAACACAAAATCAAACTTAATTTCTGTGGCATTTGCAAGATTCCTCCAGAGGCCTCAAATCAGTTTAAATTGCAGAGAGCTAGGAATCGCGATATCCACACAGGAACCCACTATATAATAAACTATATCAGCATACAGTGCATACTGACAAATATCGACTGCATTCAATTTGCTTAATACCAGAGGGAATTACCTCATGAATTTAAATAGCTGCTTTTGGAGGAACCCGCACCCATAAAATCCAGGGAACATTCCCCACCAGTCATTCAGCGGTGTCTGAAATGGGGAGCAATGCATTGTTTCAATACTGTCAATTACCCACCGATAGAAAAACAAAACCCATATCCTTATGCTGATGGAGAGCATCTGTGCGCGAATCGCCAGACGTGGGGGTGCCGCTGACTCCTCCCACGGTATGTTCCTTTCAGGGTGAGGACCCCACCCCACCCCACCCCACCCCACCCAAGAGGAACCTAAGCCTGTAGCTCATAACATCCCCAGACTACGGACAGTTACCATACATGCGAAGCCCTTCCTGAAAATGTAACCACTGCTTCCTTTCCTGTTCTCCTTGTGATTTTAGCAGAGGTGGAGATTTCAGGTCCAGAGTGTACAAATCCAGACTAAGATTTTGTTTCACCCAATCAGTTGTGTACTCTGTGACTGTGACTCTTTATTCTCAGCTGGTTGGTTGAAACGAAATCTTGGTCTGGATTTGTACTCTCTGGACCTGAAATTTCCACCTCTGGATTTTAGGGATTCTTCCTCCATTGATAGCAATCCAAGCTCTGTAGGGAACACAACACTCACCTTCAGCAGCTACACTCCTGGTGAAGTGGATGTTCTGGGATTGATGATTTAAGCCTGGCATACCTTCAAGCATCCTTAAAAGATACTTCTACCTGCTAAAGTCGCAAATTAAGGGTTATTTCTGAAGCATTGTTTTTGTAATCTGTAATTGAGACATAATTGTTTGATTGTTAGTGTTATTGTTGAACTTAAGCATTAACTTAAAATGTAACTGGGAATGAACCTCAGAATCTTGGGAGGTACAGACCAGACACCTGAAAACGTACAGACCAAATCCAGTCCGATACAAAAAGGCAGGACAACTTTCATTTTCAGTGAAAATTGGAATGACAAGTGCAGTTTCTAAGGACGTCAGAAAGTCATCTTAATGTTTCTAGTCGCACTTACAGCAGAAACATCCAGCGAGGCAGCGGATCCAGAAGGTTTGGCGGACTCCTCTGAAGATACAAACACATCTACTCCAACTACCGTAAACTCAAACGTAAATGCGCTGTGTACTGCTGCAAGTCTCAGCAAAGTAAGACTGCCAGAGTGTTATGATTAGTAAGTAATATTAGCATTAGAAATTGACATTGTGCTTTATCCATCCACTCCGATATCCAATTATCTGCACAGGAGTATAAAAAAGTAAAAAATTTAAATGGAAAGAAGTAAAGACTATTCACATTTTAGTCTGTTAGTTAAGGACAATTCCACAGTATAAAAAGGCAAGATATATAAAAATCTAAGCAAAAACATAAAAATTCACACTTTCTGACAATAAGGCTATTTATATTCTTTCCAGGTAAGAGCAAACTGTATGAATCTTCCAACTGAAAATAGTCAAAATTTTTGACACTGCCGGATGATCTGTTCCCAAAACACCTGCTTTTAATACAAGAAGTGACACTTTGCGATATGTGGAAGCGGCTGATGATCGGGAGGAGTCTCACGACAGTAGGAAGCAAACCAGAGAACAAAGAACAAACACGAAGAGGAGCAAACAGTGATTTTACTCTCCCAATGAGGAAAGGCAAAGGGAAGTCAAGCTCAGCTCTTAAGCTATGTATGAGGTAAACAAACAGGTACCCAACAGAATGAGTTTGTTACAGAGTGCTGGCAGTTTACTAGCTAATCAAATGATTTATAAATCAGTTATTTATTGTACATTAGACTGGCAAACCCAGAGGTCATTCACAGTACTGCAATTATAGCATTTTTCTGCAATCACGCTATGGTTTGTTTTTGTCTAACGAAGTTAAATGAGGAAGGAGTGTGTACGACCGGCATACAATGTGGAATTCTGTATCACTGAGAAGATGTTGGAAAATAAGTTGTGTGTTTGCTTATGGTCTTAAAGATAATTTGGTCAAAACAAGCTAAATCTCTTCATTTAATAATTACGTGTCATGGAAAAAATAAAGATCCTGCTAATACAACCAAACAGTCCCTGGTTAAATGTTTCCACCTTTTGGATATGGATCTGGTTTGAAGAGCATTTAAAGATGATACAGATCTGAGGATTGAGAGACTCCATTAGTTCACTGCATCCTACAGGAGCTCACACCTATACAAGAGCACACTGCACACTGCACACTGCACACTGCTGACCATCACATCTCCTCTGTACAGTTCTCTATGGGTGTGGCCCTGGGGACGAGTGCTTGGGGATGGACTGCATAGCAAATAGCAAGGACACCACGTTCCACCACCACCACCCCCTTTCAACCAAAGGGAAATGTGAATGCAGAAATACTGGCAGTAAAATACTCTTTGGGGGGGGGTGAACTTTGACATTCTTCCATAATATACTCCTAAAAAAAGTTGACAGTGTAATGCGTTAAAGGTTAAGCAGGCTGGGCACAGAATTAATATTTAAGGAGGACACTGACCTCGGACCCGGATGGGTCTGCTAGCACTGAACAGGTTTAACATTAAAATAAGATGAGCTGGCCACAAATCTGTACATTTTGCACACTATACAATTAATATATAACAGCTCATACTTTGCGTTGATTATCGGCCATGTTCTCGCAATTCACACCCTGTGTTAATCACCAACTAACTGATCTGTCACAAGTTTTTGACTGAGGTTTCTCATAAAAATTATACCTAATGAATTTTATGCGAGCTGTATAAATTTATGGCATATCCTAGAAAGGTACAGGAATAATGACACAAATGGACTTTTCCCTGATTAGACATCCAAACACTGAACCTTTTCCTTTTCAGCCCCCCAAAGGAAGCACACAGGCCAAGTGGAAAACTAGATACCGCAAATAAAGAATTATCTGCTGACAGGAACTGGACCCTCTGCTTAGACGTCGTACAATTATTATTTTTCAACAAAAATTATTTTTTTGAAAAGATATTTTTAAAAACATCTATGCGTAAAATCTTTTGTGCTCTTTGAAAAAAATTGCGACTGTACGGAGCAGAGTCACGTTCCGGAACGCAAATAGTAACCCAGAGAGTCATTCCCCTCTGACAATCTGACATCCCCCTCCAGCCCCCCACCCCCAATCATTCTCTGAGCTGATATTTTGTATCATAGATCATGACCACAAGTACACAACAGTGGAAGTGTAACAACTATTTTCTCAGGAGAGTCTGTTATCGAAAACAGGACACAAAGAAAACATCTCAAGTCTTGTCCTCATGGGGGCACACTCATGGAAAAGGATGAATTCTTCCACAGGGGTGGGATGATTTTCTTCAGATTCTATTTTTGGCAGATTTAAAAAAAATTTAAAAAAAGAAAAAACTTCAAAATTGATCAACCAGAATTTTCTGGTACTCCATGGTTCGCTCGTCATTAAAAACACAAAGACCTGTACATTTGGCTTGCCGGCGCTGAACAGATGGGAGGGGGCTGGGTTTAAACCCCCCCGCCCAAATCTCCTCCACCCGTGGGGGGTGGGGGTCACCACTAGATGGCACTCTCACACGGTCCTGGGGGGCAGGCGCTGTTTATACATGCCAGCCAAGGCCTTGGCGGCGCTGTGGATCATTTGCCGACGGGACATGCCGGTGAAGGCCATGTGCCAGTCGGTCCGGTTCACGTGAGGGATGCTGCGCTCCAGAATCTCGCCAACCGTCACCAGGAGGCCCGACCAGCGCAGGCTGTAGTCCGGCGGTGTGAGAGACTGTGCCTGTGGAGGGGGGGGCAACAATGATCTATCGTCATTAACAAAACTACGGAAACCACCTCAAGGTATTAGCTCAATGATCCAAAGCGTCTACCGTGGCAGCATGTGGGTCAGCGAGTTAGGACACTGCACCTATGATCAGAAGGTCGCTGGTTCAAATCCCAGAGTCAGAGTGTTTTCAGTGTTGGGCCCCTGAACGAGGCCATTAGCCCCAAAGTCGGCAGACACTGCTTTCTCAAGAAAGTATGTCGCTATGGCTAAAAATGCCTCTATAAATCTACCTCTAATATTGTGATTTGGACAACATTTATAATCTAATAAAACAGGGTGAGTGTAATGTTACAGTCCTTTCTAATAGCCAGTAAATACAGCAATAACCACAAACAAAGCCGACTCAAGAAATATGAGATACAGTGGTTAGCACTGTCGCCTCACAGCAAGAAAGTCCTGGGTTCGATCCCTGGGTCACCCAGGGTGCCTTTCTGTGTGGAGTTTGTGGGTTTCCTCCCACAGTCCAAAGACATGCAGCTTAAGTCAACGGGCTACTCTAAATTGCCCTTAGGTGTGAATGCGAGTGTGTGTGACTGTTTGTCTGTGTTGGCCCTGTGGTGGACTGGCGACCCGCCCAGGGTGTACCCCGCCTCTCGCCCGATGATGCTGGGATTGGCTCCAGCTTCCCCGTGACCCAGATGAATAAAGCGGTATAGATAATGGATGGATGGAAATCCCATGGGTGTAATTTTACATATAACGTAACAATAGTAAATAATAGTATCTGCTTTAAAAATGTGTTCTCTTTAGTTGACAATTCGCTAATGGTTTCACTGCGTTTGCCAGCGGAGGGCAGCCTATTTTCAGCTGTCTGAAGGTTTTATTACTTTGTTTTTTCAGTATCTTTTGGCGTTTTAAAGGGGATGGATGAAATGGGAGAGGAATGACAAAGCGTTTCATTACAGCACAAAGACCGACCCACACCTGCTGCTATCCGACGAGGACGAGAACAAACAGAAGCTCGTTTGTCAAAAACGTTTCCCCTCTGCAGGTTTTTAATCCCGAGCTCAGCACGCCAAGGCAATTAATAGAGACATTTCATACGCTGAAATGAAATGATGCTTTATTTGCCTTTTGCACAAATACAAGTACTTTACCTTTTATATATCACATCTTTCCTACTTTCAAACACACACACACAGGTCAGAATGAAGCCTAGGGTCAGAGAGCAGGCTGTCATTCACCCCCTGGAGCATTCTTCAGCTACTATGAGACTCAGTTTATGGAAATAAATCGTGCCAGATGTGAAAAAGACAATAAGGCCTATAGCCACAATAGGCTTTAATATCTGGGCAGCTCCGTTGTCATAGCGCCGACGGGGTCGCTGGTGGCAACTGTTTCTGGTGTGATTTAAGATATGCACATCTGGGCCGGGTCGGCATCCGGGGTTCTGGCCCGGCAGGGTTAGGCGAGCTGCCTCAGTGGGGCCCCTTACCTGTTGAACGTGCTCCAGGGCCACCGGAGTGGCCTGGGTGAAGCTCTCTATGTGGATCCCGTTTGCCGGGTCCTCAAGTATCAGGCAGCCGATGTCAAACCACCTGGTCAGAAGGAGACACAGTGAGGACAGAACTCTGGGGACATCAGACCCGTCACACAAGTGGGACGCGCTTCAAATGTGGCCTGGATTTTTGTGCCACACACTGTAGTCTCTGAATCCTTCCCTTTGTAACACGTAAATATACACAGTAAGCACAGGCAGCTGAGGTTCCCCCATGGTTACAAAGGTGTGATCAGACATTTTTGGCGTTTTCTCCTCATGGACTTTCCTACTAAAGTTTCACTTCACTTTTTTTAGGCGCAAAAAAACAACTCAACGCAAAGAATAATGGCATCATTCAGAGCTGATTAATGCTTCTCAATATGAAAACAGAAACAAAAGCCATTACGTTTCAGAAAAAGTTAATCGCATAGCTGCATAGCACAGTAGGCATTAAATCACTGCCTTATGAACTGGGAAGACTTTTTAATCAAGTGTTTATTACAGTTTACAGAAAGGTGCAGGAGGGTTGTAGAAACAAAAGGCCACACCCATAATGTCATGTGATCCATTATAAACCAATGAAAAAGGAGGAGGTATGTCTAACGTCCATAGGGTTAATGATTTAATTTTTTTTTTAAATAAAGAAATAAATCAGGACAGCTGTAAGTGAAAAGCCTGCAAATCAAAATGCCACTCTCCTCAACACTAGCTACTTGACACAATCCTCGAACCCGGAGCCATGCTATACAGGTGAGCAGACTCCAGCAAAACTTTTGCATTTGCACCAAGCTCCTCGCCCCCAAGCCCCACCCAGGGAGAGTCAGATGGCTAATTCAGCCGCATCTACCTGCACCGCATGCGGTACCACCAGGTCCTCGCTGGAGTTTAGGGACTGCTGCTGGGAGATAAGCCGGCCCTAATTCCCACCCGTCTCGCGTTTAACACTGGCACATTAAATAACTCCTGGTGACACTCCGGCACGGAGACGGCGGCACCCGCACCCAGTGCCCGCTATAAGCTCCTATCAGGCGCGACCGTAAATGTGACAGCGAAGAAAATACCAAATTAAGATTTCATACTGGCGGTGCTGGGCTGGCAGCCCGCTCTGCGATCCAGAGAGCGGGGACCGTAATACCGTCGC